AAAATAGAAATTCACAATGCCATGAAGTTAAATGACATGTTACTAGATATGACAATCTCCATTACACAATTACTATACCTTCCCTTAAATGAAGAGCCACAAAATAAAATCAACATCCGAGAGAAAAAAGAAATTAACAACACCAAGAAGTTAAACAACATGCTAGTAAATGTATAACGTGTAGCTGAAGAAGTGAAAATCAAGAACCTTCTTGAAGAAAATGATGCCACTGTATGATCTACGAGTCATTTAATGATCCAATCAGAAGAAAGTGCCCCAAAGAGATGAAACCAACAGAAAACAACAAAACACATGTGATAGAGTCTCCGCTGATCTTTGTTGGAGTGTGTCTCCTCCAGCCAATAAACAGATGGGTTTTGTTTTTTAGTCCAGTCTACTAATCTATGATGTTTGATTGAGCTTAAGCCATTTACATTCAGAGTTAAATATACATAGGTGGTACTTTGGTCCTGCCATTTTAGCAATGGGTACTTCATTGATGTAGTCTTCTGTTGTCATTCTACTGGGATGTTCTTCCCACTTGACTTTGGTTTTGGGTAGGTCCTATTCCTCTTCTCTGTCAAGAGAACATCTTGAAGTATCATTTGTAGGGCAGGTTTGGAAGAGGCAAATTCTTTTAGCTTTTCTTTACCCTGGAAGAATTTTATTTCATTTTCAAAGATGAAAGAAAGCTTTGCTGGGTATGTTATCCTGGGCCGACAATTTTTTTCTTTTAGAATCTGGAATATGTCACTCCATTCTCTTCTTGCATGTAGAGTTTCCTGTGAGAGATCTCCTGTGAGATTAATTGGCATTCCTTTATATGTCAATTGATGTTTTTTTTTTACGTGTGCATTTAAGGATCTTTCCCCTTTATTCAATTGAAGAGAGTTTGATAATTATATGTCTTGGTGAAGATCACTTTTGATCAAGCCTGTTAGGAGTTCTGTGTCCCTCCTGGATCTTGTTTCCCAATTCTTTCTCCAGATTAGGGAAATTTTCCTTGATTATTTCATTAAATACACTTGCAAACTCAGCTTCTCTTTCTGCACCTTCTGGGACTCCCATAACTCTTATATTTGGCCTCTTAATAGTGTCTTTCAATTCTTGAATACTTTTTTGGCCTGATCCAGCTCTGCTTCCAGCTTTTTGTTTGTTTCCCCCTGATGACAGGAGATATCTGCCAATTCTGATATTTTTTCTTCTGCTTGCTTCATTCTATTTTGGAGACTCTCCACTGTACTTGTAATTTGCTCTACTGTGTTCTTCATTTCTGATATACCAGCCTTGATTTGCTTTACTGCTTCTTTAAATTCTTTGAACTCTTGCATGAGCTTCTCATTTTTCACCAGAATCTTCAAAATGAGTCTTATGGATTCTGTGTCCCCCATTTTCTCGATGTCTTCCTCAGTTAACTCAGACGTTGGCATAGGGTTTTGCTCCTTTGCAGGGGAGTGCTCAGTAATATTCATTGTGCCTTTGTCTCTTCTTTTGCTCTTGATCATTGTACTTCTGGTTAGCAGAGTCTTCTTCTTGGGGGCAGGTTTCTAAGCTGTGTCACCCACCAGTCTACAATGAGATTTTACTTATTGCTCTTGGCACACAACTTTTTGCTTGCAGCCACTTGTGCCACAACCTCCAGCAAGTTCCAGATCTGGGTTCTTATGTCAGATATGCACCGTGGTCTCCACAGCCCCAGCTCTTGGCTCACCACTCTCCATGTCCTGTGATACCGTGCTGAGGCTGCACCATTGTCTCTGCAACCTTTCTCCCACTTCCGGTTGGAGTGGGTTTCAGGATTAGAGAGACACCAAGTGTCCTATCTAGTTAGGTTGTTGGTGGCGCTGATCTTGTCCGAACCTGTGGGACGTTAGGTCTGGGTGCCACATGGACCTATTTTGACCAGTACAATGTCACAGTCGGTATTATTTTCCTGTGAGACCTCAGCAAGCTCTTGTGAGCTCAGCACATGCGCATTTCTCTGTTGTCTCCTGCAGTCCCAGTTTGCCAGGTTAGAAATGAGCGCACTCCCTGCTTAGAGCATGCTCAGTGCTTTCCCTTGCCCTTTTCTCCTTATGCAAAATGGCGCCCAATTCAGCTCTAGGGGGCTGACTGGGCTATGAAATTCACTCTGTTCTCACAGTGCCTGAGATTTGCTTCTCTGCTCCTGGTCAAGTCAAATGGACCAGCAGGATGGACAGTACTTTGTCTGGGTTCACCTCCCAAGCTCCCAGTGAAAGTCCCTTCCCACCTGGTTGCTGGTGGAGTTCTGGCTGCTGTTGGAGTTCAGATAGCCATGCTGGAGTATCAGTCACTGCAACACCACACTGCTGTGCCTACTGCTTTCCTGTGTCTGTCAGTCTCCAGATATCCCTCTGCTGCTGTTCTGTCCTTTCCTATTTCCTGAAATATGTCCTCTCTGCTTCATCCTGATTAAATGTTTCTCCATCTGATTAAACGTGTCCTTACCCTATTCTGCCATCTTGATTCTCTCTCTCCCCCTTAAACTCTATTTCTATGCTTGTCACACAGCCATCAGTTTGCTTTCTATTTCCATGTTATTGACTGTGTAAATTATTTCCTATTATTGACACCATGCACTGGATGAACAACAAAGCTGGCCTTCTGTGCTTTAGCATGCTTTTCTCTTGTGTCATCCACATGTTACCAAAATCCCTCACACATTTCATGAGAAATCAACACTTCATTCTATTGATACATTGAGGTGTATTTTGTTCTCCATAAGTGGAGATGGTGTTTGCTGAATCATTTGTTTCATGTTGGCTGCTGTAAACACTGGTGTGTAAACATTGGTTTGAGTGGGTATTGTCAGGTCTCTTGGGTATACGGCTAAAGGTGGAATGGTTAGGTCATAGGTGATTTATATGTCTATTCCTTGGAAAGGATCCAATAATTTGGATACGGGAGCTGTATTTATCATGTCTCTTTCCATCCTCCATGTATGTTGGCTCTGCAGTTCTCTGAATGACCTGTCACTTGTAATGATCTTGCTCTCCATTTGTAAATCTCATGGTATCTTACCTGGTGTATGTGAGGTGCTATCTCAACGTGGCTTTGATGGGTACATCTATGGTTACTGATGATTAGTGGGCTGTATGCTGCTTTTTAGCCACATGTTTATCTCTGTAGAAATATTCAGTTTCTATTCCCATTGTCAGAGGTTTTTCTTCTACTGTTGCTGTTGTTGCTCCTACTTCTAAGCTTATTTTGATGCCAGGCTTTCTCTGGGGTGCTTTGTGGGCATCTCCCATTCTCTGCATGGTGTTTTCTCTTTCATGATGTCATTCATACACAAAGCGTTTTGGTCTGATGCAGTGTGGCCTGTCTGTTTGTTCCTTACAAGCATGTACCTTAAGACAATAAATAAGTGGACATGGAATGTATCGATAGCACTATGTAAAGCTAATATAAATTTCAGGTGTCATAACTGTTTAAGATGAACCCAGGTAATTGAGTAAATCTGCAACTAACTGGATGATGCCTGAATACATTGCTCAGGTGTTTTAAGAGACACATGAGTGTCTTTGTGCAGCACATGATCTTTAATGCCAGATGAGTGCTGATAAACACTTTGAGTTTTGGTTTGTTCTGGAACATCTTCATTTCATCTTCATTTGATGATTTAATGGAGATGATCCACAGTGGCATGAGGCCAGTGGCTACAAAGTGCATAAAAGTTTGATATTTAAAAGATTCATATATTTGTATTGGAACATGGACTTACAAAGAGAAGGACATACAAAGATGTTTCCTTAAATCTGTCATTTTGTATTTTACAATTTGATTTTTTAAAATTGACCAGCACTCTAGAATTCTCTCAGATGCCTTTTATCTCTAAGGTTTTTTGACATCTCTGTTCATTATGGCCTCTTGAGTAGCAACAATAGCAGAAGGAAAAATCTATTTCTCACTTTGTCCTTCCCTCTGAAATGTCTCCTTTCAAATAATAATAAAAAATAAACCTTAAAAATTGAGCTTTGATGGTAATTAGGAAAGGAATGTACTTCTGGAAATTTCCAAACCCTGAAATGGTGTAAGGTCACGGTGTACACCAGAAAAATTTGTGCTGCTGCGCCCTCCCTTTCTGCACATTGAAATATGTCAAGCTGAAACATTCCTGCATGAACTCACCAAACAACCTTCATGATCACCTCAATTATCAAAGTGGTTCCTTGACAAGGTCCTGGCCCAGATCTCGTGCTCATTCCTCCTGGGAGTATTGTTGTTCATAGAGTTGGATGACATGACACCACCAGGGGCTGAGGAGGATGCAGAGCAAACATGTTTTCCATCTTGTGTTTTGACCCCGATGGGATCTTGCACCCGCAGAGCCCCAGGGCCAGAAGGACTCCATATTCCTCAAGGGAATCTGTAATGAGACAGCTGCGGGAGTATTAGACTTGCCCCTCCAGTACACAGGCAGCTCACACACCCAAACACTATATACATGCATCTGTCACACCGTGCCAGTTCCTTGAACCTGCCTCCTAGGCTTTTGCACAACCTCCCAGATGCTTTCTCCACTGTTTCTCCTTCTCATTCTGCAGCTTCCCTGCCTCGTGTGCCGGCTGCCTGGTAACCACAACTGCTTTCATGTCATGGACCGTGGTGATTCCCAGGATGGAGATGTGCTGCTGGCTGCCTTCTTACCACTATGTTTATACTATGTCGAGATAATCCCGAACAATCCTGAAGAACACCTCATGTTCGAATGGTACGTATCCTGTCCTTTATATGTTTCACCTCTCAGGTCCTGCTGGTTACCTGTCAGGGCCCTGGAAGCAGTGAGGTGAATATAGTCCCTGTCCCTAGGCAACTAACACTGGACTCCTGCCCCAAACCTTGGGGATGTTGGCTGCAGTCTGATGAACACAGCACCCTTGGTCTGTGTCTCTGAGGTGTTGGGGAAGAAGATCTGTGTGTTTCAGGAGGAACAACAATGCTAGTTGCACCTCCTGTGTTCCATACTCCACGGTCCTCAGCCCAGGGCTCTCCATGCCCTGCATTAGCACACAGATGCTCTTAGTCACACAGTTCCTCCACATTGTCTGCATCAATCTTCACTTAGCACGACACACTGGGAGAGTCCCTGTGTGTTCCCTGGACTGGGGGATGAGTGCTATTTGCTCAGGTGATAGCTGAGAGCACACATGGAAAATAGGAATGTCATTGCTGGCTGGTGCATTTGCAGTCTCCGTCCTCTATTTACACAGGAGAATACTGGCTACACTGCCATGAGTGGACTCAGAAATATAGAGAACCCAACCCATACAGGAAAACCAAATCAGACAGGCAATGGTCAAGTAAGACCTTGCCTCTCACCTTTCACAGCAGTACAACATGGGCAGAAGTTCAGCAAAAGAAGGTTTCCACAGTCCTAGGGAGCAGCTAATGTGTTTCTGGTCCCACGATACTTGCCATCCGACAGAGGTCAGGGGAACTCCACCTCTGCCAGCCAAAACCCTGAGCTGTGTTGAGGGGAGAGAGGAATGCTGAGTGCCTACTTCCATGGAGTAGAGTGGAACACTGCAACACCCCCGGAAACCAAGTTCCCAGGCCATGCACACTTTGGGTGGAGAATGCTCCCTGGCACAGAGTGCTCTCGGGCATCAGGAAACTGAATCTCTTCTCATCTTGCTCTGGGAAGAAGGTTTCCCAGCTGGCCAGCAGTCAGGGACAGTGCTGCCTGCTAAACCATCCTTACCCAGTGCCCACTGCAGCATAGGGTCTGTCATGTGTGGTCTCCACATGGAACCCCCCAATGTTTTTATGGCATCCTCCTGCAGGAAAGGTAAGTAAGATATCTCTATATCTAGTCCTGTGGAATCTCTCAGTATCCTGTTTTCATTTCAGGCTCTTGGTATAGTTTTGGGAAACTCACAGGCATTTATTTTCAAGGTGAAAGAACTGATTCTTCCATTATTGTGAAAGATGTAGACCCAGGGACAATACATACAGTCATAGATTTATTATAAAGGAAACAAGAGCAATCTCCCTCAACATATTGCACATGAATGGCCTTGAGCGAGCTATGCCATGTGACCAATGTGTTAATCCTGAGGAGGACGTGGGTGCTCTGTGCAATCCAGTGTTGGAATGGGACTGCAGCACTTTCAGAAAATGCCCAATCACCCTTACTCTGCCTCAATGGCTCTGCTGTTCCTCTGCATACCAGGACTGAATGCCAATGGGGAATCTCTAATCTAACATGCTGCTGGGCCAAGTACACTGGTGGGAGAACTAAGGGCTCTTGTTGGGAAGCCTATTAGTTTAGTGCCTTCAAGCCACCGTACGTGGTTGCAGAGCCCACTCACTGGTCTAGCAGGGCATTTGTTGAGCCCCCTGCTCAGCACTCATAATACCTTCACTTCTAATTTCCATGTAATAGTACTCTGCCCAGCAGGGTAATGTGACATTTCTCATGAGACAACAGGGGCAGCAGGAACTGCAGCCAGAACATTGCTTCTTCTGTTCTGTTCCAGATATGGGTAGATTGATGATGTGGTCCTGCACTGGTCTCACAATGCGTATGGGCAGGTGTCTAGTCAGCAGGCCCAGTGAGCACATGGAGGCCACATGAACAAACTGTGTGTAACCTGTTCCATGATCTGAATCTGTAACCCAGCAAATGTGTGTGTACAGATACTGCTGCCTGCTTTATGTTCTGGATGTTTCCAGATACAGGGAAATGATTCTGTTGTCACTGTTGCTGTTGAACCTGTTTATTATAAAATAACATAAACTGTCTATACTGTACTGTTCTAGTTGGTTAGACACTAGCCCCATGTGGCTCAAAAATTTAAGTCATAGAAAACTAACCAAGTTCATTTTCATATCTGTGCCAGCCACATTCTGAAGGAAATTCCTTTGTAGCACAGAATGACATGTTCTCTGTTTGTGTGAAAGTCAGACAGGACAAGAGTCCAGAAAGCTCTCTCGTCAGTTGGCTCACCTACCACATTGCTGCAAATGTGGGGGCTGTGCCAGGGAAAAGCCATAAGCCAGGACACAAGTCATTTCTCCAACATGGGAGGCAGGGACGCAGCCACTTGCAATGTCCCCTGTGGCCACTCAGGAAGGTGCATTCTGGAACAGAATCCGAGCCCGACCCCAGATGCTGCAGTGATGGGTCCGAGCTTCAAAGCAGCATGTTCACACTCACACCCATTTCCTTCCACTAAAAGACCTTTGCTTGGACCTGTGCTCCTCGGACGACCACCTCTTGTTTCTACCAATTGCTCAAGGTGCTAAATTTGTCCAAATGTCCACAACCAAGAATGACAAGTCATAATCCTTCAAGCCTCCACATTGAATGAGAAATGGATTTGCTTTTCCCTCTTGGTCCTTCCCTTTTAAGCTAATAGGAGTTAAAATTTCAACTGGAACGTGATGGTAGGAGGTTGTTTGCCTCTCTGTGCAATGGCACAAACATAAAGTTCTCAGGCCAGAGCTGTACTCTATATTTGTGTTGATTTCTTTCTATTTCAGACTATTTCCTGAAATTGCTTTGACTGTTCATCCTGAAGGACTGAGATGGCAGGGGTGCAGGCTTTGGCCCTCTGATTTCAAGTGCTGTAGATTTGCACCTCCTCGTGGAGGGGAAGGCTGTCACCATCCAACTACTTACTTTTTTCTGCTTCTCTAAGATTTTGCTGTTTTCCACTTAGGAAAGAAAAATTCATAAAGGGGGAAAGAGAAAGGGAAAACTCTCCCATCAGCATATAGAAGAATCACTCCCCAGTATCCACAATAGCCAGGACCACGCTGGAAGCCACAAACTTCTTCCATATTTCCCAAGTGGGTACTGGGTCCCAAGGGCTTAAAGCAAAATCCTCTCCTGCTTTCCAGGGCATAAGCAGGGAGCAGAACTAGAAGTCTATTAGAGAATTCAAAAATAAGAATCCATATACAATTACTAGGTGACACACAGAGGCTTAGCCTAATACACTATGGTGCCAAACCATACAATCCCAGGTTTAATGCAGGTAATCCAGTGTGAACTCTTGTCCCACTGTGAGGGAGCAGTTGGGTCTATGAATCTTTGCGCCCCTACACAAGCTGTCTCAGAAGTGATTGTCCTCTCCATTCATTAAGCTCTCTTCATCAGAGGAATCCTTTGTGGGGAAGGGAGGGAATGTTCATGCTTGTCCTGTAGTTGACATTAGACATCAAACGTGAGAACTTGGTAGAGGCAGCTGTTTCCCAATAGAAACAGAGATGACCAGATGTGCTTTCAGAGTGAAGATCAGCCCTGTAACAGCACACACAGCCTTATAACAGCACACCTTAGTCAGTGTGGCCAAGCCACATAGCTTTGTTTTGCAGAACTGTGACGGCAGCCAGGCTAGGGCTGAGGCACCAGCAGTGTGCCTGTGTGCTGTGGAGAGCACATTGCTCATGCAGTGTGCTCAGCAGATGGAGGAATGCAGCATTGTCATGTGGACAATTCAGCCCATTTCTAGGATCCCCAAAGAATGAACTCCTGCCAGGCAAACCACCTCCATGACATCAGCTGATCTCCCACAGTGAGTACTGTGTGGCCAAGGCTGGGACAGCCCTGGAGTTGCTCCAAGAAGTGGTCATGATGACCATCAGGGTGGCCGTGAGTACCATTAGCTGGGCATCTTAGCCCCAAGCATGTGATGACCCTCAGGCTCGGCCCCTTCTCCCTAATGATCTCTTTTGCCCTATGTGCAGCTTTCAGTCCAAGAACTTCCAGTACGTGCTGGCCCTGATGTTTGCTATTGAGGAGATCAACAGGAACCCCCACCTCCTGCCCAACCACACTCTAGGATTTGATCTCTTCAATGTCATGCACAGCAATGTGAGGATGCTGAAGAATGCACTCATGTGGCTGACAGGGATAAACACAATCATCCCTAACTACACATGCAGGAGAGGGGCCAAGGCTGTGGCGGTTCTATCAGAGACTGGAATTTCCATCCAGATGGGGATGCTGCTGGAACTGTACAGAATCCCACAGGTGAGGGTGCATGGGACACAGAGAAAACTGAACCCATTCCACTGTGATGCACTTTTCAGAACAACAGGGTATCGTGGGATGGGGTATACACATAAGCCACAATGGGTGCTCTGAGCAGGAGTGTGCAGGATCCCCAGGATCCACTTAGGCAGCACAGAGCCCAACTGAGAAGGAGCTAGAGGGCTTCTCTGGATGTATGCTTCTGATGGCTGTTGATCCAGAAAGGTAGCCAGCAGACAGAAGATGAAAACGTGAGCTATTCTCATCTTTCGAAACACTCTTGCCAGTGTAACATCTGCTACATCAGTGTGGTGTGTTTCAGCAGTGCTGTCACTCACATGCTGTGCAATTTCCTCTCCTCAGCTCACACTGGGTCCTTTGGATCCTCTTCTGAGTGACAGCAGCTTGTTTCCCTCTGTCTATCAGATGGCCCCAAAGGACACTTCTCTGGCCCTCGCCATGGTCTCCCTGATGCTGCACTTTGGCTGGACGTGGGTGGGGCTGCTTGTCTCCGAACACCAGAAGGGTGTGGTGTTTCTGTCCGATTTGAGAGCAGAGATGCATGAGCATGGCCTCTGCCTGGCCTTTGTGGAGCTGATACCAGTCAACTACCACTTTGTTCCCTCAGTAGAGTTAAAACAGCCAACCCGCATCATGATGTCCTCAGCCAATGTGGTTGTTCTGTTTGGTGACACAGAATCATTTACCAACCTGATATTGGTGCTGACAAAGTCGCTGATCACATGGAAGGTCTGGGTCACTACCTCCCACTTGGACTTTGCCACCAGTATGCAAAACTTCCTGCTGCATTCCTTCCACGGTGCCCTCGTCTTCACTACGCAAAACAGAGAGATCTCTGGTTTCAGACCCTTCCTGCAAACAGCAACTCCTGCCAAGTATCCAGAAAACATTTACCTTGCCCTGTTCTGGCCTCTGGCCTTTAACTGCTCCATTTCCGATGCTGACTGTAGGAGACTGCAAGGTTGTCCCCCAAATGCCTCCCTGGAGTGGCTGTCCTGGCAGGATTTTGACATGACAATGAGTGAAGGGAGCTACCACATATACAATGCTGTGCATGCTGTGGCCCACTCTTTACACAAGATGCATGAACATGCATCAGAAGTGCAGCCATCAGGGCCTGATGGGACTACAATGATTCCCCACTGGCAGGTATGCTGTGTTCCTGGACTGACAGGTCGTCCAGCTGATGTGTTTCCCTGGTGTGGTCCTGAATGTGGGAGGATCTCCTCACGGAGGACCCTGGTTCCAACATACAAGGAACCCTGCATGTGTACATTGTCTGGGAGGTAAAGGAATAGTTGGTCAGGGGTTTCCATCATCACCCATGTACCATGGACCAAGGAGAAGATGCTGGTTCAGTACAAGGGCTGTCTTGCAAAGAGCTGACTCCAGTCCACTCTGTGTTGACATAGCTGGTACCAGGATTGTATTATGAATTGCTCAAATTAGGCAGTCGAGGATTGAGCTCTGTCAGTGTCCAGTGGAGCTGAGGGCTCTAGTGCCCAGTGGGCATGAATGCTCTCTTACCCGCTCACATTGGGTGATGAGTCAATTCCTTTTGATGACCATTGATTGTTACACACTGGTACATTGAGTAAATCAGCCAACGTGAATAGATGCCTAGACTTCACAAATAAAAACCTTCAAAACCAGCCACCTGCTGCTGTGTGATGGGTCATGTTTTTGTCATTTTCTTTCTGTTTGATTGGGGAGTGGCAATGATTGAATGGAATTCTCTGTGTTCTTTCCTTTGTGTGATGCAGTTCATGGGGAGGCAGTGGTCACAGAGGCTTTGTCCTCCTTCGGTCTTGAGTATTCACATCTGGTCCATTTTCTCATAGGATGATGTGATTCTTTCAGGAGGTGCATCCCTTTCTCAAAAGCCTCCAGTTTACAAATCCTGCTGGTGACCCTGTGAACCTGGAACAGAAAAGAAAGCTGGCTGCAGCATATGACATTCTGAATTTCTGCAATTTTCCCCAAGGACTTGGCCATACCGTGAAAGTGGGACATTTCTCCCCCTATGATCCACCAGGCCAACAGTTGTCTCTCTCTGAGGAGCTGATAGAGTGGGCCACTGGGATCACACAGGTGAGTTCATCATGCGACTCTATCTGCAAATTGACAACATCAGGATGCAGCCTTGTGCCCCATGGCCTCAGAATTACGTTTTGCAGCCTAAACCACTCCCTCTTCACTTCAGTGTGTTTGCATGTTCTCATTCTCTCAAGATCAAGAAAGTATACACAACTGTTCCCTGTGTGTTTTGAATCTATTTCCCATCCTCTAGGCATACACAATATGGCATACACATAATGTAATGGAAATCTGGTATTTACAAATGAAATTTCCTCATCTCCCAAACTCTAACGTGTCTCCTAGGAAGTGTGTTTTCCTGACCAGCTCCACATATGACCAACAGATGTGTCATTTTCCTTAGCCCCCACAATCAGTGTGCAGCACTAGCTGTGGTCATGGGTTCCGGAGAACCACTCGGGAGGGAGCGCCCACCTGCTGTTTTGGCTGCACCCTCTGTCTAGACAATGAGATTGCCAATGAGACTGGTAAGTGCAAATCCTCCTCACAGAGAAATTCCACAACTCTCTTTGCTGTTCTTTCGGTTCCTTCAAAAAATTATCAATATGTGGGATGATGCTTGGGAGGAAATTCTGCCTACCTTCAGAAAACAATTGCTTTTCATAATTATGAATAGTACCTCTACTCCAGTAACTCTGCCTGTTGAATTGTCTTTCATGTGTTAGCAGGAACACAAACAGGAGATTGAATGACACAGGAAGCATGATGCAGGTGACATACAGGCTGACATATGGCATAAAATATGAATAGAACATCATGTATGGAAGGGGCAGACAGACCACTAAGATGCACTAAATGTACATAACAATGTAGATCAGTGATAGAGAATTCAGCAAAGACCCTAGAGAGAGGATGTGAAGCAGAAGGAAAATCTGAGACAGAGTCTAATGAGTAGTGTCAGCTGGATTCTTATGCAAAATTAGCAATCAGAGATATGATATATCCAGAGGAAGTGATGAGGTTACTGCCTATGTCTGTGTCTGTGTTGTGTGTGTGCATCTGCACATCTGCATAAGTCATAAAAACGTGAGTGTGTGTGTGTGTGTGTGTGTGACCATGCAGACTCAGTTTCTATTCATGCAGAAATTTTCAGGGATCTCTAGTAATTCTATCAAATGTCAGTTTGAAATCATACATATAGATTTGTTCAACACACTGAAAAATCAACATGAAATTGAAAAGCTGCAGACAAACACGCCAGTAGGGGCGCAGGTGATTTACAGGTGGAATGTGATTCCAGCACAAGTTCCAGTGTGTTCTCTGAGGGAAACATGTTAGGGTAGGCTGACCTGAGTCCCTTTTCTTTGTCTGGAAGGTGGCCAGTTGCCTTAACCACAGTGGTTTTCCATCAGTGTTGGTCCCTTTTCATGTTGTAACCCAAGTCATCCCTTGGGAGATGCTCTGCTTTGAAAGACACATGGTTTAGAGAAAACGAATAAAATCCACCTTGTCAGTAACAGAGAACAGGATTTTTACTTTACTCTGCTTTGCACCCATTTTCCCCACAGAGATTTCTAGTGCATTTCTTCATGTATTTGTTCCAACACCTGGTCAGGAGCTTTCAGCAACTTACAGAGAGCACCACCCCTCAACAGCACATCATATTAGGACATGGGTGGTTGGTTGAGGAGGCTATGAGAGAAGGGAGGGAAGTGTACTGTTAAAAGTAAGGCAGGGGGAGGCAGCCTGCTCTTGCCACACATGAGGACGCAACAAGAGTGTACCGTGTGTAAGAACATGGGACCATTGAACTCCAGTAACTTCCCTTTCAAATTGGAAGACCATCACCAAAGAATTTACAGAGCTAATAGTGAATATGTCCAGAGAATTCTTTGTAAAGCAGCATGAACTGAATCAGCAGACCTCGTGGTAGTGTGAAAATGCACAATGTTCTCATGAGCACAGGGGCTGCCTAGTGGGATGAAGGAATGACTGATTCCCAAACAATGGGGAAGGTGGGCATTATTAATAGGCCACGGCTTGCATATCTTTCATGGAAATGCTATGTCTCTTTAATGAGACTAGGACACGTACTCAAACAGGTCTCAGAGAGGGGTCTGAGTCTCAGAGAATTGCATGTGGGATGATGGCATCTCTCCTTACTCATCAGATATGGACCAGTGTGTGGCATGTCCTGATCACCAGTATGCCAACGCAGAGCATGACCGATGCCTGGACAAGAAAGTGACATTTCTGGCTTTCAAAGATCCCCTGGGAATGGCCCTGGCCTGCACAGCTCTGTCATTCTCCATCCTCACAGCTGCCATCCTAGGGGTCTTTGTGAAGCACCAAGACACACCCATCGTCAAGGCCAATAACCGCACCCTCAGCTACATCCTACTCATTGCCCTCCTCCTCTGCTTCCTCTGCTCCTTCCTCTTTATTGGGCGTCCCAACACAGTCACCTGCCTGCTAAGACAAATCACCTTTGCCCTTGTGTTCACAGTGGCTGTTTCTGCTGTACTGGCAAAAACCATCACTGTGGTTCTGGCCTTCAAGGCCATGAAACCTGGAAGGACAATGACGCGATTGCTGTTGTCAGCAGCCCCAAATTCTGTCATTCCCATCTGCTTCTTCATCCAACTGACTGTCTGTGGCATCTGGCTGGGAGTCT